TGTGTATGCAAACATATTTTATATATATGCGTCCTCAGGAAATTGCAAAGAACTCACACTGTAGTGCATTCATGCATACATATGAGCTCATGTTCATTTTAAAGGTAATGAGAACATTTGTTCACGGTAGCTAATTCTATACAGTTCTATCTGTTATTGTCATTTTTTCAGTCGTTTCTGACTCTTGGTGACCCCATTTGGAGTTTTCTTGGCAAAGATACTGGAGTGGTTTGCCATTTCCTTCTGCAGCTCATTTTACAGATGAGGAAACTGAGGCAAACAGGTTTAAGTGACTTACCCAGGGTCACACAGCTAGGAAGTGTTTGAGGCCAGATTTGAACTCAGGAAGATGAGTCTTCCTGATTCCAAGCCCAGTGCTCTATCCTTCCACGGAGTGCTAGGCTCTGGATAGACAAACACAAAGAAGGATGGCCTTTGACCATCTAGCCCATTTAATCTCCATGTGAACAAGGATTGTTTCTTTATACTTGTCTGTCCAGAGCTTAGCATGGTGCCAGGCACATAGTAGGTGCTGACTGAATGTTTGCTGATTGATTTGTTGACAGATAAGAAAACAGGTCAGACAGGGAAAGGTGCCATGGGGAAATATCAACACATATACAAATATAGGGATGGATATTCAGGAAGGGAAGGGAAAGGAAGGGAAGGGAAGGGAAGGGAAGGGAAGGGAAGGGAAGGGAAGGGAAGGGAAGGGAAGGGAAGGGAAGGGAAGGGAAGGGAAGGGAAGGGAAGGGGAGGAAGGGAAGGGAAGGGAGGGGAGGGGAGGGAGGGGAAGGAGGAGAGGGAAGGGAAAGGAACAAGGATTTATTTAGCACCTACTGCATACCAGGCATATATTATCCCTCCTTGAAGGCATTTGGTAGCGGGTAGCTGCCTGGGGCATTGAGAAATTAAGTAGCTTGCTCAGGGCCGCAGAGTCAGTATTTGTCAGAGGCAGGACATGACCTCAGGTCTTTCTGAGTCTCTCTGAGATTGGCTCTATATCCATTATACCACACAGCCTCTCCTGAGATACATCCTTCATTGGGTCAAGCAGAGTATCTGGTGCTAGCTATACAAACTTGTTAACAGTGCACAGAAGCTCTGGGTTCTGCCCTACCCCCTTCCATTTCCCTCACAGTGAAGCCAGTAGTGGTATGCTTAAGGCAGACAAAAATACTAAGCAATTTCACAAAATAAGGAACAAGGGAGGGAGGAGAGCAGAATAGGTATTCTGGAAAGGAACAGGAAAGAGAGAACTGACTTTGGAGTCAGAGATCTGGGTTCAAATCCTGATCCTGAAGTACCTATGTGACATTGGGCAAGTCACTTAACCCCTCTTAGGCCTCCATTTCCTCATCTGTAAAATGAAGGGGTTAGACTAGATGATGTCTAGGGTTGCTTCCAGTTCTAAATTTATGATCCTATGATGGGAATCACAATTTAGAGACGTAACTTGAATTTTGTACCCCTAAATTTACATTAACTACTTTTGTTAGTGTGACCAATAACCTTCATAAAAACAACCAACTCTGGGAAATTCCCTCTTGGTAGAAAACACGTTCAAGAGTGAACGCTCTCTCTGTATGCTGGAGCTGCTTCTCCCTCTGGGACAATTGTTCCTGAACATTTTTAAAGCCTTTACAGCTGGCACAACTGAATAATGGCGCTTAATGGGACCTGCCCCTTAATGTTGTGAAGAACATGACCCTTATCCATCATGGGAGCTTGCCCAATCCTGGAACTTCAGGGCTAGCACTTCAATCTGAACCTGAAATTTTTGAATTCATGTGTTTCCTTTTGTCTGCCATCTTCAAAGTGTTTTGGCCTTTAGCATCCTTCAAACTAGTAACATACCCCATCCAAGAGGATCTGACCTATGGGAGAGAAAGAGCGCTGGATTTATAGTCAAAGGAAAGGGGATTTTCCCCTCCTTACAGAGAGGGGAGGCCCAAGATGAAGCATACAACATGTTTTCAGACAAAGCCAATGTGGCAATTGGCTTTGTTTGGCTAGGCATATTTGTTACCGGAGACTTTTCTTTCTTTCTTCCTTCCTATTTTCTCCCTTCCTTTATTTTTCTTTCTTTCTTTCTTCCTTTCTTTCTCCCTTCCTTTCTTTTTTCTTTTTTCTTCCTTTCTTTCTCCCTCCTTCTCCTCCTTCTTTTGTTTTTCTCCTCCTTCTCCTCCTCCTCATCCTCATCCTCCTCATCCTTCTTGTGCTCCTCATCCTCCTCTTCCTCCTTCTTCTCCTTCTCCTCTCTCTCTCTCTCTCTCTCTCTCTCTCTCCTCTTTTCTTTCTGTTTGGATGAAGGCAGGGGAGGGTATGAATAAGGTAGACCAAAAAAAAAGAAGAAAAAGAAAAGAAAGAAAAGAAGGTAATAAAAGTATTTTTAAAAAATGAAACAGAAGGCCAGAAAGAATCACAGTCAAGCAGGACAGCTTTGAGAGTCACTTTTTGAATTTTTTCTGTTTTAAAAAGAAAAGCCAGCTGTTCATAAAAGAAATCCTCAATTTCATGTACTTTCTGCTGTTCTACTCTGTAAATGAATTTTTTTTAAATTTGGTATTTATTAAGTATACAATTTTAAAAAAGAAAAGAAAAGAAGGGAAGAAAGGGGCCTGAATCCTGAGCCTGCTATTTGCTGCCTTCATGATCTTGGGCCCTTTTGCTACCCTCATTTGTAAAATCAGGAGTTGGACAAGGAGAAGGCAAAGACCCCACCCAGCTTCCAAATCCCTAAGAAAGTTCTCAGGTCATTTGGAGGGGTTTTATACCTTAAAACATTATCTTTGCCCCCAAACCTTCCCCCACTTCTAAACTTCCTGATTATATCGATTCCCAAGGGCACCACCATCTTCTCAGGCACCCAGGCTCTAAACCAGGGGTGGGTAACCTGCAGCCTCGAGGCAACATGTGGCCCTCAGGTGCAGCCTTCTGGCTGAGTCCAAGTTCTACAGAACACATCTTGTATGAAGGGGACTTGTTCTGTGAAGATTGGATTCAGTCAAAGGGCCACACTTGAGGACCTAGAGGGCCTCAAGATGGCAGGTTCCCTACTCTTGCTCTAAACCTAGGTGTCATCCTTGCCTCCCCACTCTGTTTTCCCCCGTGTCCAATCCTGTCAATTTTACCCTCGTACCCTCTCTTGTATTTGCCCTCTTCCCTCGTTGGACCCTGCCATCCTCACCAGCTCACACCTGAACTATTGCAATCACTTGCTGATCGGTCTCCCTGCCTCTTCTCTGCCCACTCCAATCCATCCTCCACTCTAGTATCAAATGACTCTTCCTGAAGAGCAGATCTGAGCGTCACAGATCTCTCCAGTGGTTCCCTCTCAAGCACAACATCTTCTGTCTGGCATTCAAAGCCCTTTGCAGTCCAGACTCCCTCTCCTACGCTTCCTTTTTTCAGGCCCTTTGCTCCTCTGTTACTTTGGTGACACAGATTCTGGATGTTTTTCCTGGCTGTCTCCAATACCTGGAATACTCTCCTTCCTCATCTCTGCCTCCTGACTTCCCGGCCTTCCTTCAAATTCCAGCTACGATGGCATCTTCTACGAGAAGCCTCTCCTAGGCCCCCTTAATGTTAGTACCTTCCCTCTCTTGATTATTTCCAATTTGTCCCATACATAACTTGTTTGTACATAGCTGCTTCCATGCTGTCTCCCCGACTAGACTGTAAGCTCCTTGAGGGCAGGGACTATCTTTTACCCTTCTTCCCATCCCCAGGTTTTAGCACAGTGCCTGGCATATAGTAGGTGCTTAATCAATGCTTATTGACCGACTGAAACTAAAGGTGGTTGGAAAAACAAACATGAGGAATTTACAAAATTATGTTTTAAAAGCATTTCCTTAATAGCTTTCTTTGCTTTTCCTTACGATTTAAGCAGCTTAATAATGCTTGCCTTAACTCTTTACTTGTGTTAGCCTGAGTCATACCCCCAGTTCTCTTTTTGTTTCTGGGGCAGGGGAAGCTGCTAAAACTCTCCTTCCCTTCAGAAGGGAGCCCTGTCAACATCTCCATTAGATGCAGGCGCTTTTGGGGTTGGACAGTGAATGCCAGTGTTAGAGTTTCAAATGAAATTACATCTCAGAAGAAACTCCAGGCTGCACACCACAATCTCATAGCTCTGGAGTTGAAGGGACCCTAGAAACCATCTCTAGTCCAACACACTCATTTTACACAGGAGAAAACTGAGGATCAGAGAGTTTAAGTGGCTTGCCTCAGGTCATGCATCTGATGTAGGACCTGAACCCAGGTCATCTTGGCTCCAAGTCAAGGCCCTATCCATTAGGCTATACTGCCTCTACATATGGCCCTGGTTTCCACTGGTTTCCAGTAAGGCCCTTCCCTTACACTTAATCCTTTTAAAGTGTGGTTTCAGGAATTCCCTCTGAAAATGTTGTATACTATCCCCAGATCCTCCCACACCCTTGCTACTCTTGTGACTGGAAGACTCATCAGCGCTATGGAGAGATTTTGACCTGCTCCTGGAAAGATAATTGCCTGGACAATTAAGACAAAGGAACAGGCAGTGATGGCTAAGGGCAGACAATTTCTTCTGAGAGCATCCAGGCAACATTAGCTATTCATGAAGTTCGTGGAGGTCAGAGCCCTCCATAAATTCCAACTAATTGCTTGGTGGTGTTTGTTTGTTTGTTTCTTTATTTTTAATTAATTTATTTTGATTTATCAACAATCACTTTCATATGCTTTTGAGTTTAAAATTCTTCTCCCCCTCCCTCCCCTCCTCCTTCCCCAATATGGCGCACAATCTGATATAGGCTATACATATACATTCCTATTAAACATATTTTCATATTAGTGATGTTGTAAGGAAGAATTAGATTGGTGGTGTGTTTTAATAAATGTTGGTGAGTTCTAGTGTATGTGTGTGTTGGGCAGGTGGGGGGAGCTCTCTATGTTGTAAGGGAAATGAAGAAACTCAAAAAATGTTTAAAATCTAAATTGAGGGGAGAAAGACACAGAATACAGGGACCATTTCATTGAATTTATTTTTTTTTTCCTTTCAAATATAGACATCATGAAAGCAGGCAAAGATGAAGAAAAGAATGGATAAGGCCATAGTGGGTGGATCTTTGGTGAGACCACAGGCCTTTGAACAGGAGAATGACCTTTTATCACAAGGCTGAGAAACGGGGCATTGAAACCCCAGAGCAAGAAGAGAGGGTGGGGGTGGGGGCGGTTCCCTTCTTAACACTGGCTCCTCTGGAAGGACTTCACTAGGGCTGAAGACAGGCTTTCGTGAGTGATCTCACAGCTGTACAAGTCATGAGCGTTGTATTCATCCTTGGTGAGGGCCAGGGTGCTGCTCAAGCTGTATGTATTGTCCGTGCTGTCCTGATCTGTGATGCTGGTGGCGACCCCTGAGTCTGTGGTCTTGCCATCGACCTTCCACAGGACTGTGGCTGTCTTGGGGTAGAAGTTGTTCACAAGGCACACCACTGAGGCTGAGCCTGTTAGCAATTGTTCATTAGATGGTTGGAAGATGAAGGCAGACGGCTGAGCCACACTCCCTGCAGAGGGGAAAGAAAAAAAAACACCAAATAGGTGTTTTATAACGTTTAATAATAGGAAAATGGACTTGCCTATCATAAATCACATAAGAGTTACCGAAAGGACATCAGACCACATACACAAGAATTATCAAGTGTATTCCATAAAGCTCGGCCAGCTAATCATGTTCATGATTCTGACCTCATTCCTGTTTCTCTCATGATCCATATGTTTCTGAAGGCTAGAGCATGCCCACTCTGTAAGCCCCTCTGCCCCTTCCCCTCCCCCCCACAGACAGACAGACAGACAGACACACACACACACACACACACACACACACACACACACACACACACACACACACTCTGTTATTCTAGACTACTTTAGATCTATTTAGCAAAGACATCTTCAAACATGCTACTACGCGCTTTCCCAATGATATCTTCCCTTCCTCTGCAGCACCAAACTCTGGTTTCCTGTGAGCCAAGCAGAGAAACACAGCTGCCCTTCATGCAACCCAGAAGGCAAGCAGAAGGATGGCCAGTGACTCCTCCAAGGAAAGATGGGCCAGGGGTGAGGGACTGAAGGTCCTTGCTGATTTCTATTCTTCTCTGTTTTCTCCCGGGACTGAATCACAGACAGTAGATTTAGAGTGGAAAGGAACCTCAAAGACCACCTAGCTCCTCCATGCTCTCGTTTTACAGCTGAGGAAACTGAGGAGAGACATCCTTACCCAAGGTCACAGAAGTAGTAAGTGGCAGAGGCAGGATTTGACCCCAGCTCCCCTGACACCAGACATCCTCCTTCCTTAATGTGGCATTTGGACGGACTCCAGTTCTTGAGCCAAGCTGTCACATTTCCTCCTGCCCCCTATCGTGTCCTTAGTTTGGGGGTGACCACATGACACCTGGGAAGACCTTTGTGAAGTCTGTTTTCTAAACTCAAAGACCCATCTCTCTTCTGTTCTTCTTGGATCACACCACAGGAGTTTTATAAAGTGAGGTCCTGAACTTGCTCTGTTGGGTTTTTTCAGCTGCGCTGGCCACAAGGCTGTGACTTGGGGCCAACGGTTATCTGGGCACCTGTCCTAATAGAAACTGGCCCAAGCAGGTCTGACTCTCAGCAGCTGTCAGATGGGCAGCAAGGAACTCTTTTCCTCTACCCAGGTTAATTCAAGCTGCTGATGTGGAAGCCCACAGGCCAACAGGCAACTTCTCCTATGGAAAGTCCCCCAGCCTTTAGTTTTTTTTTTCTTATTAAAAATAGTTTATAAAGAAACAATCAGGAGAAGATCCGAAAATAAAGACAAAGTGTCCGTTTCTGGGAAAGTCCCATTGAGAAATTTCAGGGTCTCACAAGCTTGAGCAATCTGGGTTCAGGCTAAGAAATAGCTTGAATTATTTTTCTCAATATTAACTCACTTTTCAATGTGTGGATTGTTCAATATTATTGCCCTTTCCAGCCTTTGGTACTCAGATAGCTAGGGAATCATCAATCTAGACACAAGCCATTGCAAGAGCCAGAAATCAGCAAGGCAAGCTTAATTCTAATTGACTTAAAACTATAGGATGTGGTCCTATATGGACATCCATCCCCCATGGGGAAACTGAGGCATGAGGCTGTTGCCCAAGATACAAAGAGCCACAGTTTGAATACAATTTGACTTTGGAGTCTGTCCTCTTTCAGTATTTTCCCCACTAACTTGTGGATTTTTGGCTACAAGCAAAGCAAAATCCACACAGAGGAAAATAACATTTTTTAAGCAACCCCAAAGTGCTTTTCATTTTTAAAATAAATTACATATGATTCTTTTTTACTTTACCGAACAGAGTTTGAAGCAGTATGTCCTTAGACTCTAAAGCAAGAGGAAATAGTGGAGAGGACTGGGAATCCCGAGGTCATGGTTTTAGACCTGGCTGTGTCACTGTGTGACTCCTCTGGCCCTCAGTTTCTTTATCGGTAAAATAAGGACGGATGTGGGTTTGTACTAGCTGATCTAAGGCCCTTTCTAGTTCTAACTCTGCACAATCTTTTAACAATCCACTAAATTTTGTACTTATTTTATCAAACTCCAGAAATGACTTAGAGGTATAAATTTCTTATTTGGCATTAAACACGTTAACAAGAGATACATTTGATATGCGGCAAAGATCCTCAAAACGTTTTCTCAGTTTTTAAATGGATTTTTTTAAAACAGATTTTTTAAAAGATCTTTAAAAACCCAAGATTTCTGGGAGAAATTAAAAAAAACTGTCACTCATTATAGATGAGAACAGTCAATGAAACACTTCTAGAAAATCATTTCTTTTTAAATATGTCAGAGAAAAATCATCAATATATTCTAGACATTTAAGTGAAATATGTAGATGTCTCAACAGATAAAAAACAATGTTATATTTCCTGGTATTGGAATTAGAAATATTTGATTTTTAACCATCATATTTTTTATTTTTTATATATAGTTTCTATAACTGAAAGCCCATTAGTACTGTCATTATTTCACTAAACTTAACGATTTCGTTATGCTAAATTCTACCATATTCACTAATTTTTTGAGTGGAGGAAAAACTATGAAATGCAAAATTATTCATCTTCTATGATTAAAGGAAAAATAATTTTATGGCAGCTATATGAATCCAGTAAAAATTAGTCAAACAGCTAACTTTAATTTTTATGTGGATGTCACTCAAAGAGCATGGCACCTTATTTTACCAGTACTTCACTCTTCTACTAAATTTTATAATTTTTTGATTATTTTCTATTAAGAGAGAAGATCTCTTTAAACTCTTCTATCTCCTTCATTTTGCTTATTCTTGCAATTTCTAGGAAGGGAAGATTTAATACTGAGCAAGTTTATCCATAAATTCTAAAATAATTCTCTTTTCCACAAATTTTATGCATTTTGATCCACTTTATGCTGATTTTCTATTTTTCCTCACTAAGTAGCGCACACCAGAAACAGATTGTGCTGTGGATCTTATTAGTGGGTACCAGTTGCTATGTGAAGGCGATGACTGCCATAGCATGTCCACAGTACTGACCAGCCACTTCAGACTGCTTAGACCACTTCAGTTGTCTTACGGTTAAGTGCTTATATTCTGATTATGTACTGCTAGTTTTAAAAAATTGAGAACATGATGGTTTAAATATCTAATGCTCTTATAAAAGTCTGCAGATATTTTGAAACAAGTTTTAATCATTTCTCTTCCCTTCTTTTAAAAATTTCTTAAATATTAACTTTCTCTAGATGAGTCTTCCCAACCTGGGAATTTTTCAAGTTTAGTTTAATGAAATATACAGGTTTTTTTAAAAGAAAAAAAAGACTAGCTGATCTCCCAATATCCATTTTTTAGTAAATTTCTTACCATATAATAACCCATCCCTGATTTTCTCCAACAGTCTATTATTAATTATTTGACTACCAACCCCATACTTAGCTATCTTACTATACTTGGGTTTAGGTGAATACATTTTTCTAAGTCCTCACTTACAGCTATTGTATGATATAGAATTTTTGTAACTAAACCACGTATTAATACTCAGATAAAGAAAGCAAAGACAGAAAGAAAAAAACACATTTTCTACATCTCAATGAACAACGTCAATGATCATATTTAGTTTGATAAAAAATGCACTTACATGTTTTTCTCCAGTTTTGGCCCCTTTGATGAAAGTAACCAACCATAGTTACCTACAACTCTCCTCTTCTAGAAAACTTCTTTCCATTGAAGAGTTCAACTGGACTCCACTGGTTAATTTCAAGACAATCTAGCCGTTTTACCCCTAACCCTTGAAATCTATCTTTTGAGGTGGATATTTATAACTCTTTTGGTGCTCATCACCACAAATCATAAGCATACATCTCCAAAAAATAGATAAAGATCATTTAGACACAAAATCTCAGAAAAAGGTTGAGAAAAATTCACTTAACGTTTAACCTCCAGCTTGGTCCCTGAACCAAACGTTATTCACGGTGTTGGCTTGCTAACTTTCCCCTCAACAAAAACCTCCTTCTACCACTAATTCTCTCTGGACTGGCTAATTCCAAGAAAACTTTACCATCTATCTGTCAGTCTAGTGCCCAGATCTTGGCAATTCTTTGTGCTGGGGAAGACAAATAGCTTTTCAGTCTCTCATTGGAAAGTAGAGGTGACAATTCTTTTCAGAAATAATATACAAAGCCTCATGCCTTAAGGACCAAACCCAGGGATCAGAAGGCAAGCAACAACGATGATCTTCTCCCCTCAATTGTTATCCCTTCAATAAAGAAATTTTTAGTTGGGAGTAGGAGGACAGAACCCAAACCAAAATGCTGTGCCTAGAGTCAAAATGCATAGAAATACAGTTGATCCCTCCGGGCTAACTCCCCCAATTCATTTTTCTTTGAGGCAGCCAGATATTGTACTTCTTACTGATCTCACTGAGCAATTCTGCTCCACCTCAAACAACAGAAACACATAAAAATTTCAAAAAGAGCATAAAGGTTTTGTGAAGAATTAGGGAAGAAAAAAGGCACTTACGTTGGATCTCCACCTTGGTCCCGCCGCCGAAAGTGAGCCACAGTGTTTTGCCCTCTGCACACCCCACCACAAAAACCTTCCCTAAGAGTGGCAGCAAGCCTTGACTCCCATTTATTGACCAAATTCAGTCTAGAAGGAGAAATCTCACAACCGGCTACCAGCTAACCTCTACCCGTTGTCCTCTATGCCACTGGGTCTAGTAATAATTTTTGTTGTCTATCCTGACACCCAAACTCACAAACACACACAAAAAGAAGATAAATGCATCAACTGGAAAAAAAAACCACAGTAATAAAAGCAGTGGAAAAAAGGCACTTACGTTGGATCTCACTTGGTCCCGCGCCGAAAGTGAGCCACAGTGTTTTGCCCTCTGCACACCCCACACAAAAACTTCCCTAAGAGTGGCAGCAAGCCTTGCTCCCATTTATTGACCAAATTCAGTCTAGAAGGAGAAATTCACAACCGTACCAGCTAACCTCTACCCGTTGTCCTCTATGCACTGGGTCTAGTATAATTTTTGTTGTCTATCCTGAACCAAACTCACAAACACACACAAAAAGAAGATAAATGCATCAACTGGAAAAAAAAAAACCACAGCAATAAAAGCAGTGGAAAAAAGGCACTTACGTTGGATCTCCACCTTGGTCCCGCCGCCGAAACCATACGCACAGTGGTTTCTCTCAGTGACCTGCCTGTACCAAAACTCAGCTTCCCTTTCTCACCCTACTGGCTTCACACAGAGCTCACCATGCATCGGAGTGCATTTCTGAACTCCCTTCCCATCACATTCCTCTTATTTTGTGACCCTGGCTCTGAATTAAAGACAAGCTGCCAATTGATTGATTGATTGATTTTCCCATCCCTTCCTTTTTTGTTGCATGACACCAGATAGTGAAGCTCAAAACTTCAGACAGAGAAGACTGTAGCTCTCACAGACTCAGAAGAACAGGCATCCAAAGAATGAAAAGAGGTCTTTTACTCACGTTCAATTTCCAGCTTGGTTCCACCGCCGAATCCCCATCACAGTGATAGATCTCTATTGACTCCCTGTACAAAAACTGTCCCCGGCAGAAGGGGAACAGAGCCCAAAGCCATCTGCTGAGACTTGCAGCCTTTCTCAAACAGGTGTGGGGTCCCCTCAGCCTTCATGGTCTTAGGCAAATGTGTGAATATCTTCATATCAAGGAAGGCCTGAAATGCCAAAGACCTAGGATATCCCAGGAATATTATCTCCCTCCTGCCCTCTTCAGCGAATTTCCAGCTTTTCCTTATCACTGCTTTATCCCACCCATTTCCCCCAGATCAACAGATAATATTTTTTTGAACAGTAGACTCCATTCTGTGCAATTGTATAATGTTTACCCACGGATAAGACCACTGAAAGCCAGTAAAAACTACAGAAGACATTCCCATTTGAAAGCATTTATTATGTCATTTAAAATGATTCTTTTATTCAGTTTGAATTTAGTAACCATGAAAAAAGTAAACCTTCAAGAGTGCGTACAAAAATATAAATCCATTATTTACAATTAAAAAATGTGACTGTTAACTTTAATAAAAAAAAGTCCCCTTCCTCCACAGTCTTCTGATGAGCTTCTTTGTATTTTAATTTTGTAGCTATTATTGTCATCGTGATTATTTCTTTTATCGCATAGTTGTAGTCAGTGTGTATGCATTTTTTTTCTGATCCTGTTTTCTTCCCTCTGCATTTCTCACGTGACTTACCATGTTTCTTTATATTTTTCATTTGTATAATTTTTTTTTGTGAGGCAATCAGGGTTAAGTGACTTGCCCAGGGTCACACAGCTAGTGAGTATCATGTGTCTGAGGCTGGATTTGAACTCAGGTCCTCCTGATTTCAGGGCTGGTGCCCCATCTACTGCACCAACTAGCTGCCCCATTTGTATAATTTCTTATGGTGCAACAGTGTGCCATGGCATTCCTATACTAAATTTACTCAGCCAGCTCCCAACCAACAGATGAGTAGGCTGTTTATAACTTTTTGCTATTATAGTTAGGACTTTTTTTCTTTTAATAGGTAGCTCATTTCTCCCCTGCCCTCAGGAGTATGATATTCCAGGCCTGTGACATCCCAGGAATATTGTTCCCTTTCTACCTTCTTCAGAAAATTTCCATCTCTTCCATATTACCTCTTTTCCCACTTATTTTCCAAAATCAATAAAAAATATTTTTGTGAGTAGATGACCTCATCCAACACAATTGTATAGCTCTTTAAGCTCTACCCACTTACCAGAATTCACTGAAATCTAATAAAAATAAAAAGGTTTTGTAGTTCTCGGGCCATATTGCTTTCAAAGAAGATTGCACCAATTTCCATTTCCGCCAGCAGTGTGTTAATGTTCCCAGTCTCAGAGTTGTTTTAATTAGCACTTCCCTAATTATTAGAAAGTTTGAACAATTGTGTAGAATGTTTTTCAAGATGACAGACTGAACTAATACTTCATCTTAAGGTGTCTGCCTGGTAAACTTTTAGCAGGGCAACAAATTTCATTACAATCAGTCAAATTCTTTGAAAGTTTTCTTGAAGCAAACAGACAACAAACCTGACATACTATAGTTTCAAAGAGTTTTTTTACACACATCACTTCATCTGAGTCATGAGCCACCCTCATCAGCTAGAGAGTGCAAATATTATTCAGTCCATTTTACAGATGAGTGGATTGAAACTGAGAGGCCAAAAGACTTGCCCAGAGTCACAAAACTAGGTGATGATGAAGGCTTTCAAGATCAGTATAACCTTCACCACCCATGTTACTCCTTACCAACTGAGCCATCTCTAGGACGGTTATCATGACACAGGAAGGACTGTTGACTAGATGGTTCCCCTGTGCCACTGGAATTGACCCATCTTGGCAGAAGCATGTCAGCTGGCAGATGAGACTCCTTCAAAGGGTTATTGTGTTAACGCCTGGTAGCAAAATGAGCAAATGTCCATCTCTGTTTGGCATTCAAAGGCCTTCCTAACCTGGACCCCTCCTTCCTTTCTAGCCTCCTTACACCTTCCTCCTTTCCATGCCCTTGGGGATCCAACAACATTGGGCTCCTCCGTCCTCAAACACGACCTTCCATCTCCTGACTTCAGGCATTTTCTCCAGCTAGCCTGCATGCCTAGAACTCTCTACCTCCTCATCTTCACCTCTTGGCTTACCCGGCTTCCTTCAGACCCAGCTAAAATCCCACTGTCTACAAAAAACCTTTGCTGATTGTCCTTAACACTAGTCCCTTCCTCCTGTTGATTAACTTCAATTCATCCATGTTTGTTTGTAACTGTTTCCTTCCTTAGATTGTGAGCTCCATGAAGGCAGGAATCATTTTCTGTCTTTGTATCTCCAGGTCTTAGTACAATGCCTAGCATATAGTAGTACTTAATAAATACTTATTGATTTGAGGCAGCTGGTGGTTCAACGACTAGAGCACTGGGCCTAGAGTCAGGAAGACCTGAGTTCAAATCCAGCCTCAGATACTTCCTAGCTGTGTGACCCTGGACAAGTCACTTAACCTCTGATTGCCTGACAAAATGGATCTGCTGGATCCACTGGAGAAAGAAATGGCAAACCACTCCAGTATTGTTGCCAAGAAAACCCCCCAAATGGGGCCACAAAGGATTAGACATGACTGAAAATGACTGAGGAATAACAAAAAAAAAATTGATTTCCTGGCTTGTACCTTTTTCCAGGTAAGGGAAAGAAGGATGCTCTTATGACTGAATTTGCCCAGTTACTTGGTTAGATCGCATAAATGTTTAACCTACTTTTTAGGTTGTCCCATCGTGTCACAATACTTTTAAGCAGCAATATGCAACCTCTAGGTCCTCAGTGCCTGGTAGGTGCTTAATAAATATTTGTCGATTTGTTGATTCTAGCCCTTTTTTGGAATTGCCTACTTTCAATACCCCTTCCACATTCCTTGTCCATCTGTTTTTTCCCATTTTATATCCTGTTACGATTTACATGAAGAATTAGTGATGTTTGTGTTGGTGGAGAGAATCCCCATACCTCTGGGTGTGGGAATTCCCTGCACCAACACAGATTCCAACCCAACTATGACTTAGTGGGAAAATCCTAGGGAGTTGCCTGAGGCTTGGATTAAGTAGTCTCCCTAGGGTCACACAACTAGTTAGAGTCTGGGGCCTGGGTTTGAACTCAGGTCATCTTTGTCCAAAGCCCAGTACCCTCTACTGCCTCTTCTTTGCAATTTGCTGTAGAGTCAAGTTAGCAAGTAAGCAATAGACACTTATTAAGCACCCACTATGTGTCAGGCATGGTGCTAAGCAGTGGGAGTACAAAAGGTAAAGAAAAGTGCGTTTCACGTCATCTCAGTTCCCCAGCAGCCATACATTACTTTTCTGTCTCAGATTTGGTCTATAAGAGGGTCCTCTGCCTCTATTAACTTCTGCTCTGCATCTGTGTATGAAGGCACTCTCCAATTCCCCATGACTAGAAAGACGGGTCCATTTGGTAAGATCAAAAGAGTACATACAAAGTCCTTGCTTTGTTTATCCAAAGTGACCACGTACTGTCATTAGATCCCAGATAGAGCTGCTTTTCCCCATACAAGTCCTTGAACACTGCCCTTCTCATAAAAAATTGTAACATCCCTTTCTTAGCCCATCCCCCAAAGCAGAGGAAATAGAAGTTGGGTTGATTCACAGACATAATGATGGTCAGGTGGCAAAGGAGGCCACCTTTAAATGGAAAATCATCAGGAAATGGCTGCTTTCTTTGGCAGCTTCTCATGTTTGTGTAATTCACCTATCCATGCACATGAGAGTATGACAAGAATAATCATTGACATTTATACCATGATTTACAATTTGAAAAGAACTCTTCCTGCACTGTATCCGTGGGTCCTCCTAACAGCATGTGGAAGGCAGATGCTATAGGTATTTATTATCCCATTTTACATATGAGGAAACTGAAGCTCAGAGATTTTGTTATTAGGCAAGATCTTCCCCAATGCTTCTCTAGCCCATATCGTGCTGTTACAAAGACACTTTTCTCAATGTTACAGCTCTATGTAACATGCTGGTCTATAATAATTCTCCTGCACAGCAACATGGAAACCAAATTTGGCTTTCCAAAATTCAAAATGAAACATATTGCT